TAAATCTTAACAATCACAATCTTAATTGTATAGGAAGCTGTTCAATTGTAATTTGCTCATGGCAGAAACTAAATTGTATTAAACATGACATACTATATTAACCAAGTTTTTGATAAGTCTTTCCTAAATAATAGCCCTTGGTTGCATGACACAAAAAAATTATTGTAATGAATCTTTTGAGGTTTAGATCAATTACGACAAAAGTGATGAAAATTTTGGAGATTATGAAGAATGACTAGAATTGGATTCTATTGCCCAATTTTGGTCCAAAATTATTATATTTTAATGTAAGAATATTATGTTTTCAGCTGATACAAAGAAATAGATGATGAGCATTTTAGTTGTTAGATTTATTATTAGTTCGATTTTAATACCAAATGTTATGATTAATTATTTTATCAACTTCGTTTAACTTAAATCATTGATCAAAATATCAGACTAATCAAAGTATTATATTCATATTCACATCAACCTTCAGTCAAAAATATTTTCTTACATTAAAATAAGCAATTCTCGAAACCAGTACTATTTAGCAATCATTGGCCATCAAATAATTAGTGGGTTACTAATCATGCTAACCCCTAACTCATCCTCAACAACAAGGCTTAAGTGCCACGCCCATTATTTCAAAAGGATGATATCTATTCAATGATCTACACTAAACTAATGTTTGCTTTGTCCTTTCAAACAATTCGTGCAGTGTGTAGATGCAATCTTTATGGATTCTCAATCATCCACTTTTCATTAAATTATTGCTGTGTGTGGTGTGTGATGATGTAGACATGCCACCCTTGTTCCTCTTACCGGATCAAATGAGATCAAGATTATGTTCAGAACCATTCCTCACAACCTTTTTCTCTCCACCACTCCCAGAAAGCTACAAGCAAATTAGTTGATTCTAGGCTTTCTTTTTCACTCCTAGGATTGAGCATTGAAGATAGGTCATAGGGACTGTTGGGAAGCTTGATCACAGGTTCTGGAAAAAGCCATGAACCTGAGATTTTAGTTTTAGTTTTGACTTCTGCAGAAAATTTCTGATAATGGAGTATTGATCAAGAATTGTCATGTTTACCATATAATCCAGAAAAAAAAATGGAGGCTGTTGTACTTAAGATTTCTGTATGTATTAAGTTTCTAAAAGAATATATACAAGTTTATGAGCTTTCTTTCATGAGAGCTTTATTCTCTTCAATGGTGGAAGACATTTCCTGCTCATTGTGTCGGAAGACATGTTATCAACCATGACTCATCATTGCAAAAGAACAACTCAGTCTATGTTCTTTCCTATCTCTTCCTTGGATTATAATGCGCAGTGGCTGTACCCAGCTTGCATTGTTCTTCCCATACTTTGGTCAGGCTCTCCTGGTTTTCTCATCTTTCTTTGGGCAGTAAGTTTTCACTGTTAAGCTCAACTTGAATGTCAACCAATCAAGTTTGAGCTTAGTGCAAAGTCAAGGACCGACACCTGATTCAATCATCAATTTTTTAGGCTTAATATATAGTCTCTAAGAATAGGATTCCAACTTTAATCTTTTGATTAGCTAACCTAACATAAATTATAGTATTTATGGGTGGATGAAATATGCTCATATCTTTCTCACTTGAGGACCTGTATTCTCATGCTCAACTATTGTCAAAATATCTTTCTAAGATCGTTTAGCAAGATAAATTTGAGACCATATAATTCGATTAGCAGAAGTATATATATATATATATATATATATATATATATATATATATATATATATATATATATATATTGTGGCAGATTTCACGCTGGTTCCCCATTAAAGACATAAAACATGTCTAGATTGTCTCATATTTCAAAGGGTCATAATGCCACCTACTTGATTACACCTTAACTTTATTACAACTCATTCACAGTCTCTCTCTCTCTCTCTCTCTCCAACCCTTAGTGGTGTGAGAGGGCAAAGGCATAGGTTCGCAGTGGTAGCAAGACGGAGGAGAACCACTGGTTAATGGAACCAGCTGCCCAAGTTTCCGGCGGCGACGTCGGTGACGACGGCGCAACTCCACCTCCACCCTCTCAACCTCGGGAACAACAAGAACAGCTGGAGCAACAACAGCAGCAGCAGAAACCGAGCCGGTATGAGTCGCAAAAGAGGCGGGACTGGAACACTTTTATACAGTATCTGACGAACCACAAGCCGCCGCTGACGGTGGGGAGGTGCGGCGGCGCGCATGTGGTCGAGTTCTTGAAGTACCTGGACCAGTTCGGGAAGACGAAGGTACACGCGCACGGGTGCACCTACTTCGGTCATCCGAGTCCCTCGGGGCCATGCGAGTGCCCCACGAAGCAGGCATGGGGCTCGCTGGACGCGCTAATCGGGCGCCTCCGCGCCGCCTACGAGGAGAACGGTGGCGGCCGTCCGGAGTCCAACCCCTTCGGCGCCAAGGTTGTCAAGTCTCACCTCCGAGAAGTCAGAGAAAGTCAGGCCAAAGCTCGTGGCGTCGCCTACAAGAAGAAGAAGCGGAAGCGCCGCCTGCCCTCCGCCGTAGGCGAAGGGTGTTCGAGGGGCGTAGCGGGGACTGCTGCTACTGCTCCAACCACGACGATCGCGATGGCAACAGCTGAGGTTGCTTCTGTTAGTGCTTCCAGTGCTAGTGCTACTGCAAGTGATGCTGCAGGGAGTTCAACGTCGGCCTCATGAGTACAGATTTCACTCCTTTTTATATTATGCTTCCTTGCTACTATTATTTGGTTCGGTGGCTAACAGGGTGAGAAATAAAGTCAATTAGTGGACTCGATGGATCCTTTAATTCTTAATGATGATGATACAAGTATAGAACCACAAACACAAGCTTGTGATTCATGAGTCAAAGTTTTTTCTTCTTCTCATTCAAACAATATATTCTTAATTCAATCGGATCATGTATCTTCCTCTATTCATTATTACATACAAGGAGAGAAGAGCGGCTAGAATACTGTTTTGTGTGCATCAATCAATCAAAGTAGTGTAACATACCCTTTTGGATATTTGTCTGCATTTGTGATTAGAGCATGTTGTAAAGTATAGTGATTGGAAAAGTTTAGTTTCCCATCTTTTAATCACCTTTCAAATGATGCACATAGCTGAAGTTGATCCCTAATTTCTGCTCTCTCTCTCTCTCTCTCTCACACACACACACATACACACACACACAATCTTAGATATATCCTTGTTAATGATCTTCTCCTGTTAATATCTCATTATTCATTGTCATTCATAGTCCTAATTGACATTTTCCTTAAATATAAAATCAAACAAACATCAAAGGCGGCAGTTTAGCCAGTTTTTATGAGAATAAAAGTACCTGCGAAAAGAGAGAGCACAGCGATCAGCACCAGCTGCTCCTGTAATGGAGGTCCGCCCTGTGTTGGGAAGGTGCTCGTTCTTTAATTCACACCCAAGCATTTGCCTCCGAGCAACTCGCCACCTCCAATTAAAATAGCATTAGGTTCCTGTCATGCCCAACTTTGTGTTTTTTGGATGAGAAGAATGATCGAGGTGATCACCATCTTTATGCTGATAGTACATCAGCCAAGGTGTAAAGGTAGAGAAGAATGGAGAATTGATTAAGAGATATCAGAATCTAAACCTAGTGAGAGAAGAAGTTTCTGGCCATTTAACCATACATAGTATCAGAATCTTCGTCTTAAGATATGTCATGCAGTGGTATTCAGGTCGTACCAGTAGCATTTAGACTGAATAATCATAAGAAAAACAAAGGAGGAAAAAGATGAGTCACACTTCCTTTACCCCAAGTTATTCATTTGGATTGCGTTCGGTGCTAATTTTAGGTATCTATCTAAACAGTTTTTATCTGTAAAACTTTCTCATTAGAATAGATGATGACGTAAGATAAATGTGCATCGATATGCCTCCACTCGCACATAGATTATTCAGTACGTGTGAAAAGTGTTAGTTCGGCAAGTCTCATAGTCCCATGTCGGGAAAATCAGGCTTGTTATCTCCTATTGGAACTATAAATAAGGGTATGGGCTTTAAAGTCAGATGCACCACAAGAAAACCTAATTGTTTGCTTTAGACTTTGCTTTAGGCATTTTATCCGCTAATTAGTTTTTATATGAGTCAAATTTTTATATGACATTGATTATGAACCCTGAATTGATTCGGTCTGATTCAATAGAACCCTAGTTATCTGATTTGGTTCAATGGAGCCCTTGTTTTTAGTCAAATTGTCTGATCAACGACTGACAGGAGAAACTCTATCTCACTCGTCGCCTTCATCGAAACCGTCCTTCCCGCAAGCATGCAGTGTGGTGTGGGTAGGCTTCATCGACGAAGCCTTGTGGAAGGGTTTGTTGGTGCATCGTCGAATCCCTAACTCCATCATCTTGTTGAATCGTTTTATACCCCACTTTCGTTCATTGCATCGTTGGACTTGGAAGGCTTGGTTGCATCCTTGTAAGCCTTTGCTGTCTTCGTCGAAGGCTTCATGGAAGGCTTGATCACTTACCATTGCATTCGCGAGGTGCAAGGCTACAATGCTGCATCAGCAAATCATTTGTTGTATTGTCGAATATCATAACAACACCTCAAACCAAACCCAATATCTTGGTGTTGCGGTTGTGGAAGTTGTCTTCACCGTGTTCCAACTATGTCATTGAGTGTGTATCTAGTCGCCAAAGCCTTCACTGTGTCGCCTCAGTATTCAATGGACGACGTTGATTGTTGAAGCCTAGATTCCTAGTGTGGTAGTCATGGAACTCATCTTCGTTGGGTCGCGATCGAGTAGCTTGATCAATGAGGAAAGCATTTATCCCCAAGCAGGTCATGTAGTAAGTGGCGTTGTCGTTCTAAATTTGGTCAAAGTCATAGTTTGAGATGTGTTTTTAGGGTTTTTTAACCAAATTGATGCATTATTCTTGTATTCATTACAAGTTTTAGCATTAGTCTTATACAGCTTTTTAGTTTTAGGTGAGTATTGATTGATTGGTTTTGCATAGAAGAACATTTGAAAGCTTTTGAAGTCCAATGTAATATTGATATCAACCATTATCATCGGGAAACTTGTCATATAATGTTTTCTAGTGTTGCATTAGTTGTTATATATTTAATATTTGTTTCAACACATGTTTGGTTCATTTATAATTGTTTGCTATTATATATTTCCAATGTTATTTAAATACTAATGTGAGGCTACTTTAGATAAGAATTATTGGTATTTTAGTTGAGATTGAGAGTTTTAATGAAACACAATCTTTATCGATCTCGAAATCAAATATACTTTTGGGAAGTAGTCACACTTGACCAAATTAAAGGATATCCTTTTGCATAATCTCAAACTTGTAACTTTGTTTTAAATGAAACATTTATAGCGGATAACAATGAAAATAGCTATGTGATATTTGTACAAGAATAGGTTGAGCAAAGAAAAGATAGCTATGTGATCTTTGTACAAGAATAGGTTGAGCAAAGAATAATAGGATAAGTCGAACAAGATCTAGATTATAATATATATATAATGTCTATTATGTTATCGGTGAGCATATCGATTTCAATCCATATATATATAAAAGATTCTTGAATGATAGGGTTATAAAAGAAGATGACTTAAATCTTAATGCTTTGACTCCATATGCAAATGAAGATGAACGTGTCATCAATGAGTTATACATTAGACAAATATAAATGTATCAAATATAAAATTTATTAATATGATAATGTTCAATATACTAATTTGTTTGTGATATTTAATACATAATTTCTTTATGTTTTATATGTATTTAAAGATATTTCAGGGTTTAAAAGATAAGAATATATATTATGAAAAGGAATTTTAAAATAAATATTATTATTTGTAGAAGTTATAAGCTCAAAGCACAATATAAGATTTATCATTAGTGGATGAATGATAGTTGCTTATAGAGGTAATACATGTTGAATTATAAAGTTCACCAAAGAGTTTTAATACAATATGTCTAAAGAAATCGAGATTATCTATCTTGCACAAATAAACAGTTAATATCTTAAAAAAAATAATTAGATAACTAATGGAAATAGAACACTTATCATTGATCTAAAAATGTTTGAATTTAGGGAAAAATTTATAATGGTAATAGAACTTTTTCATAAGATAATACCACCTATCTATGTTAAAAAGTAGGATAAAAATACAAACTTATGGAGCCATCAAGGGTCATTTTATAACTTATATTTGAATTTATTCAACCCAAATACATGATATGCTTCTTATATTTTAAAACCAAAAAAAAATATTAGTTGTAGATTATTTATAATGTAATCATCATTAAGAATAAAATACAAATACTTCTCACAAACCTGAAAATCATGCAAAAAATAATGATGACCAAAATTTTTATCCTAATTATAATATGTGATCAAATTATAGACTCATACATATCAATTGCTTTTCCATCTTCACTCGCCATAAGCAATATTCAAAGTGAATTTGCACATGAATTTACTATCTCTCCAAATATCCAAAACATTAAACAACTTAAACTATAAATAACAAATGATAATTATATCAGTTATAGCAAACCTAGTTTGATAACCAAATTAAATTGAAGACTTATTATAAATTCTTCAAATTTGTTCATCCTCTCATAAATCTACAAAATAAAATATATTAATAAGAATATTCAAAATAATTATATTAGAAATAGAATCAAGTAATGACCTTCATTAGTTTATCTCTTTCAAATTATTCTAGTGCTAAGCGATCATCTATCTTGCCTTTAGACGATTCAAAAATATCAAATTTCCATTGCTTACCTCGAATATCAAATATCCATTTAGATAGTACTTTCCAATTTTTAAAGAAATATCGATTATATATTAAATCTTGATAAATTTTTATTTAATATGATCTATGGATATTTGACTATGTAACCCCTAATCCATTATTTTTATATTAAGTTTGGTAAAATATACTACGAAAGGCTCTAAATGATCTTTGCATCTATCATCTTGTCGAGGATTGAGGTGACACAATGGCTAAGTCCATGATCTTGAAGGATCGTTTATAATTTCTTAATTTCATCTTCATATTTTTGATGCTTGCACATACTTGTTCTATAATTATATAAGTGTCCTGCAAATAGCATAATTTAATAAATAAACTATCAAATTTCAAATACACTAAATGTAAAATTTCAAGACACTATATCTCGATATTTCATATGATCAATCATCATTGGAACTCTTACACTATAAAGAGAAATGAGCAAGTGACATACTTACATAACAAGTGTATAAAAAATTATAAAACACATCCATATATCTAAATAAACTCTTAATTATAAATAAATAGTTATCTTATCCATAGTAATCAACTTTAACATTAAGTCGATAATGTTCCAATTACTGACGCTCATAAGTCCACATCTCTATAGTGAAGAGAAAGCTGAATCATAAGAGAAAATAAACAGATAGACATGCTCGTATAATTATCCCTAAAATAAATTAGTAAAGATAAGATTCAAAATTATTCTATAAACTAAATCACATATATATTGAAATATAATTTAGCATACATCAATAATGGTGCGTAACCTCAGAGATATCCAATAATCTTTGTGCTACCACTCTACTTCATATTTTTCATTTAATCTCCAATAGTTTAAATCTTCTTAGTAAGATAAGAAAGTATGGTTATCGCCCAACTGTAATTTGTTAAGGAATCCAAAGTATCAATAATACATAGTAAAGCAAAGGGTAAAATGTGATGAAACATAACTCGTTTGACAAAACTATATATA